TGAATTGGAGTTGATCGAATGGCATGGCTCGGCCATGCAGGCGTGGTCTCTGCTGAATGTTACCTTATATCTTCTATTCATATTAAATATATTGTTCTTTCTCTAGCCTAACCTTGTTCTACATCATGTATTGGTAGTTGTCACGATACAGTGTGTTGGTGTAGACGATGATGTGACTTCCATGTAAGATCTTATAGATTAGGCGGTTATATCATGACAAATCTACAATTTTAGGATTAGGTCTATTGTTAGAGTAGCACTAATATCATAGTAGACCATAATTCTACAATTCTACTCCATTGTTTGTAGAATCGCTAAATGTTACAGCATGAGGGTTGTACGTAGCTAACGTCATTTCTATACGGATTAACCAGTATCTTGTGAGATACTGTCGGACATCTGGTGCTACACGCGATATGACACGTAAATAGTGGTTAAAGCTGTACGTTGAGAATAATTTATAGCTTACCGTGCAATATGCTCAGTTTGCATTAATTTGCACAAGTAATATTTTATTGAGGAGTCTCGCAACTATGTGCAACTGTTAGACTACATATAAAATCAAAAACTGATATTCTTACGAAATGCCTGGCAAACATAGAACAAGCAGAGCACTATGTTGACTTGTCTATACGTCAGGCCCATAGCCAGACCTTATGGTAGTCTCTGGACCATATGATTCCACTCGAGGTATGTGATCACAGCCATGAGGCTTAGTACCACACCAACAGACATAATTCGAGAGACTTACGTTTTATTAAGCATACCAATTTCTTGAGGTTTTCTTTTCACATCCAACGCGCATTTATGGGCAACAAACAGATACTTACATTACCCAATAGAGATCTTTTTGCTTTGTGCGTAGATGTAGTTTGTAAGCGTTATCTGCCACCGAACGAATTATGCTGTTTTTACACACTGAAGAACTTGTAAACCACTTTCGAATTCACCCTATGTCGAGAAACCCTGTGATAGGATTGCCCTGCAAAATGTATCGGTTGGATCGATCAAAATATTCTCAGAAGTACTTGACGCTGTATTACCATTAAATACACAGGGTGAAAACCAGGGTATTCACAAAAGGGTGAAATATACAACTCACCCACTACTTGCTACAGGTCAACAATTGAAAATCGCAACACGAAGGTTTTCTTTAACTGAGTGGTCAACAAAAATGATCGATGCACACAGCTATTTGTCATCCAGTGTCCAAATATGAAGCAACCGCCCTAATGCAAGTCAGCGTAGGTCGCTGAAACGAAAAGGATATAACTTCAATTTCAAGCTAGCTTTTAACCTGTGCCCTTCGTGATGTGTCAGTGCGTGATGCTGGCCAGAGACTCTGAAAAGTTAACCAATCAGTATTTGAACTTCATCAGCGCGCTTCAACTTACTTATCTGGACAGTTATCTTGTTTTCTATCCCCGGCTTCATATTTTTGGAATGTCTCATTCTGAAACAAACCAAACTCCAACCTTGTAATGTGATAATTGCTGGTCCTAGCAATTTAAATGCCCTAGGATGAATACACTAGTTCATAACCGAGAAATACTAACTCACAATTCATCAGTATCAGTGTAGCTAAGTAGCTTAACCAAGAAAGTCAGAGGATAGCAAAGATCTAGAAACGTACCGTAACATCAAGAGCCGAGTTCAAAGAAATCAATAGGTTTATGCGTGCTGATCTGTAAAGACGGTCCTTGAGGCTCAAACACATACTGACTCAGCATGTGACGAGACTAGCCAAGAAGGACAGTGATCTTAGACCCCGTCTAATGAAGATAACCTTCCCATCTTCCCACATGGCGGCTGCAGTTCTGGAAGCATTTCGTGCTAATAGACATCGATTGCCACCTGGAATCCACATGCACCCGGATAGGCCATACGAAGTTAGGACCAAGAACAAAGGCAAGTTAGAGCTGACCATTCCACTTGTGGACTGTCTAAATGATAAAAAAACATGTAAAGGACAGGGCCTACCACCTCGGCAAACCTCATATAGGTGGGCTACCTGTCCATTCACATAAGGTTCATACAGAAAAACAGGACGAAGCTCACGCGTTCCAAATTGAAAGCATAAACTGCTTATATATGAACGCCGCGAGTCTACCAAACAAATTGGATGAACTACGTGAACTTAGCAACGATAATAAGGCCCATCTGATAGGAATATCTGAAACCTGGATATCTTCTCAGTTCTCGGACCAAGAGTTAGCATTACCTGGGATGACTTTGTTCCGCAACGACAGAAAAACAGGAATTGGGGGCGGAGTAGCCATATACATAAGCTCTTGCTTGGAGGTGCACCAAGTTCACAACCTCGAGTTTAACAATCTTGAGGAATCCATATGGTGCTCTGTAAGATTGTCTAGTACTTCAAGGTGTCTAGTCGGAGTCATTTACAGGAAGCCAACTGCCGACATCGAGTACGATAGTCGTATGCTGGAAGGACTATCCCGCTCTATCCGTCTCGGTTTCACACACATCCTGATTCTAGGGGACTTTAATCTCCCTAGAGTCAACTTCGCGGAACACACGTACACTGGAGGCGACAACTCAACTGAAGCTCGGTTCTTCAACCTCATCGATGACTTGGGCTTATATGAAAATGTGAGGTCGGCAACTCGTTGGAGAAACAGTCAGACACCATCGCCCTTAGACTGTGTATTCACTAACGAAGAATTCCTAGTCGACAACCTCTCAATCCTGGCTCCTCTGGGAAAGAGCGATCATGCCGTCATAGACTTCAGTTTTGTCAGCAAAACTAAGCTAAGGTATCCCAACAATAATTTGCGTTGAAATTTTAAACGGCTGAATGTGCCAGCTCAACATGACTTCTACAACAGGTGGTTTGGGATGTTCACCCTCAACTCAATGTAGACGGTCATTGGGACTTCTTACTGCACACGCTCTTATGTGCTACAGACCATTCAGTTCCTCAAACGGTTCCCAAAAGCTGCAAGCCACCTACAGTAATCAAGAACCGTACCCTTCGCCTGCTAAGCCGCAAAAGGCACTGTTGGGCGGAATACAAACGAACTAATAACGATGGAGCGTATAGGCAATATAAACATATCAGGAACATATGCACGAAGGCTATAAGAGAAGACAGGCTTTAGTACCAGACGAAGCTTGTGGACAAATTCGCCTCTAACCCTAGAAGCCTATTCCGTTATGCAGCCTCTCTTCGTCAAGCCAAAACAGGAGTTTCTCAACTGCTAGGTCTTAACGGCCCGACCAACAACGATGGCCACGCCGCTAACCTTCTGACGGCACATTACTCTCAAACATTTCAATCGGCCGACATCAACTTTACTGACGACAGTTTCATCTGCAATTCCACAGGACTTTCCGAAGTGGGCCTACGCGCTGACTGGGTGTTCCGGAAATTGCAGCACTTAAGACTAGATACTTCTCTTGGCCCGGATATGGTTCATCCTGCCATACTGGTGGAGGCAGCCTCAATCCTGGCAACGCCGCTTAGCGTGATGTCTTCACACTCGCTAAGCCGAGGCAAATTACCGGAAAATTGGAAGTTGGCTCACATCACACCAATTTTCAAAGGAGGTCGACGCAATGAACCTTCAAGTTATCGGCCGGTGGCTCTTCTGTCATTACCTTCAAAACTCATGGAGTCCCTGATATTCGACGGTTTAAACGACTATCTACTGTCCTTAAATTCCTTCTCACTCCAACAGCATGGTTTCAGGAAGGGTTACTCTTGTATAACCAACCTGCTGACTGCAGTGGACAGATGGACAAGCATCCTCGATCGCAAGGGAAAGGTTGATATCAATTACCTTGATTTCTCAAAAGCTTTTGATAAAGTTAACCACTTGTGTCTTATCAATAAGCTCAAACGACTAGGTATCAAACCACCTCTAATCGATTGGCTTACTTCATACCTAAAAAATCGACACTTTAAGGTTAGGGTTAATTTCACTTTATCTCAGGCTATGGAATGTCTTAGTGGGTTCCCCCAGGGCTCAGTGCTGGGGCCTCTTCTCTACTTGATCTACATAAACGATCTTCCTCAACAGGTAACGTCAGACTTATTACTTTTTGCTGACGACGTGAAAATTTGGAGAGAGATACGCAACCAAGACGATATACAGGCACTTCAGGAGGATCTGACTCGACTACAAAGTTGGGCAGACGATAACGGACTTACCTTTAACACTTCAAAGTGTAAAGTAGTCCATCTGCGACATGTCGCAAACTACAGTTACAACTAAGGAAACTCCTCTCTAGTAGTATCCCAAGTCGAAAAAGATTTAGGAGTCCTGGTGCCCCATGATTTAAAGTCTTACGCTAACTGTGACGAAAATGCCTTCCGAGCAAACCTTGCACTGGTAAAATTGAAGCACATTTCTGGACAGTTTGACGGAATAACTTTCCATATAATCTTCAATATTTTTATCCGTCCCCATTTAGAGTACGGAAACATAGTATTTCCTCCCTCACTCCAAAAGGATAAGGACACTCTCGAGCGTATCCAACGGCGAGCCACGAAATCAGTTCGAAGACTCAAGTCTAAACCTTATGAAGAGCGCCTCTAATCACTTAACCTTTACCCATTAGAGTATAGGCGTCTTGGAGGTGATTTATTAATGGCTTATAGCATTCTCAACACTTCTGGACATCCTCTTAAACACCTACTTAAGCTTAGTTCGAATAATAACCTAAGGGGTAACACCCAGAAACTGGAAACACAACATAGCAAGACGGAATGTAGACACAACTTCTACTCCTTAAGAGTTGTCAAAAGCTGGAATTCGCTGCCGGCCGAGCTAGTCCAAGCAACTTCTCAGGAGTCCTTATTCTTAAGAACCAAGGACAGCATCACACTATGATTTACCAATTTCTTTTCCTCTTTTATTGTTAATATACCTAGGTTCCTGCCTGGAGGATTTGGGATCCCCTGCTACTAGACACGGAAGCCTGTTAAGTGAAAGCTTCTTCTATTCCATCCACAACCATTTGAACCATTTGACAGATTAGCGCTCATATTAACTGATGGCCTTGAACGAAATGCTCATAGTTCGTTGTGTATCTTGAATATGCTGGTTGATGAGTCACAAGAAATACTAAATGAGCTTGTCGCAGATTTCGGATGGACTCATGAGTTTCTTTCGCATGTGAGTACTCATTCCAGGTCACCTGTACATTTACACAATATTAGTATTCATTATCATTTATTCTGAAGATTTCAAATGTAACTTCCTCCTTTTGTGAAAAGCACATATTTATGAGTGCAGTTCTGTGGGTTTATCCCTTAATTTGTTCACATCAGCTTCCCATAAAATTTGTCGAGATCGTTAACATCAGTTAGTTGGAAGAACAAATAACGGATATAAATTTGAACTTACATCATTGGAAGTAGACTGACCATTTTTTGTACGTCTGAAATCTAGAAATTACCTCATAAAGTAGCGCTAACTATAGAAAAATACAAGTGAGAATGGCAACATGTGTTAAAAAACAGTAAGGGACTGTCAAATCCTTTTTAATATAAATAAATTTAGCATTTCAAGGTGAAATATCTTTACTTAGAATTGAACAAAGTAGTACAAACCTATCCACTAACTCCGTTACAGATTTTAAGTATATCTTTTTTGTTTTCTCGCTTTTATTCTAATTTGGTGTTTAGCTTTTTTGTTGCTATACTCAGTGCTTTCTCTTTTCAAATATAATAACCTTAATGACAGCTAGCATTTTAGATGAAAGATTTTCCAACGTTCCGTGTTTGGTATATACCACTTGCAAAGATCTTCAGAATAGACCTGACCCACGTCTTCCTAGTTGGTTTTGACTGAATGGGAAAAAGTGTCTAAGACATAATTCTTTTCTTACAATGAAATTTACTGACACGTCACTCCCAGCTTACAATCCGCAGCGCTACAGATCCAGCTTTAAATGTGTTGTATGACTTTAAATGCAAGTTATTGAGATACATAGCTTGTAATTATCCTTCCTACTCGTACAATAAAGCAAAAATAATTTTCACCATCTTGAATTTCGGACTGTCATCAAGATATGCTTAAAAACAAGTGTTTGCGCGAAGTTTTGATAAATACACAATCAGGCTTAGCAATACATTCAATGATCTGGATTATGAGTATTTCACAGTGCTGTATAGGAAACTCAAGTTTCTAACAATATCTTCTTTACCGTCCTGAAGGATAATAACATGCTTAAGGTTTAAATATGACTCTTAAAGCCTTGAAAAATATCCAGTTCAGAAATAAAGGCGTTAATAAACGAAATAGCTACTGTAGGATTATTGGTATCCAATTGTGCTTATTTTCGCAAAACATCAGTAGCCTGTTCTCAGAATAAATAAACTATATAGTAGTTTGTCGTATTTGAACGACCAATCCAAATGAATTTTACATGGTTTCTTTTATGTTTAGCCAGTCGAATATGGGAGATGCTCCTACTCACGGAATCATTGGGTTCCTGTAAAGTCTCTCACAACACACAATAATTATTGCTCATTACGTCAACAAGGTTTCGTTAAGGAAGAGATAGTAAGTGCCTTTTATTCACATTTATATGTTAGAAGCCAAGAGGAAAAATCTAGGACGTAAATTGTTATGCTTTTCTGCACTCACTAACAAAATGTATTTACAGTCTTGTTACCACGCGTTTATAATTTAGCTCTTACAAGAACCAGTTGTCAACACCTTTAATTTATCTATTATTTATTTATTTAAACACATAAACATCGGTACAAGGAGTGAGTAGGACTTTCCTGACAGTAGCTGTACATGCGTGGCCATGTGAGAGCATTTCAAGAGGAAGAGCTTATTCTTCCCACCCTCGACCGTAACAGGGAATTCGGGGGCACATGCCTCGTCTCTAATGGATGGTAATTTTCCCGAACTGAAACTTGTATTTGTTTGTAACATAAATATTTGGTACAATCAGGCACCAAGGAACACTCCGTACAAGACTAAGTGACAGTTTTGCGAAAAATTAAACAATAGATAATGAACAACCATGTAAATAGATGGACGAAAATCATGAATATTCTGTATCAAAGTATCCACTTCAAACTGCCATGGTTGGTTTTATTCCTGGAAAAAAAAATTATTGATTACTTACTCAGAATACCTCATTACAATTTCCATTAACTTCAACCTGACAAACTTTCAAACTATTGGAGCATTTATGATAGCCCGGTAGCCGTTAACCGGTACAAATACTCACTTAGCAACTCCATATCGTAGACTGACTACGCCTTTCTATATCACAGTATCTGTCGAACAAACTCCATTGTAGTTATTCAATTAGTAACAGCTTATAATCTAGTATATCCCGGTTAAAATCAGTTGGAATCTAAATGGAGATAACCAAACTATATCACTTATCAATATAGTTTATTTTTACTCTGATTAAACCTTTTAGACCAGCAGAAAAAGGAACCTATGTTGGCTCTGTTATCTAAAACACCTTAATAAAGCAGAGTATTCGGATAAGTTGATACGGAACGTATGTTTCTACTCACATCTGAAGACGAATTTTCTATAATTCTCTAGGACATTTCACGTGGTCCTCTAAAGTACAATAAACACCAGCTGCCTGTTTTCTTGGGGTCAGTTTCACCTGATAATTGTCCGGTTTGTATCAAGGTGTCAACTTTAAAAGCAACAAGTCTAACCAACACATATAGTTTCGGAAATAACTACATTAAACATCACGTGCAGAGACTGATTTCAGAGAGCAACCTTACGATTTTTGACAAAACACAAAGAGTATGAGGCATTTGATACTGAAATGCGTAAACACAGCCAGTATATCATGTTAAGGGATAGTTAGTACGTTTACTTGTAAATCAATTTTATAACCGTCTCAGCAATCGTACATAACTTACTTGTTCATACTATATTATGTGACTTTTACTTCAGGAACAGTGATTACGATACACCTTTTAGTTTTCCTATGTTTCTAGTCTTGACAATAAGGTAGAGATAGAGAGGAAAAGTTATTATAGGTAATTGTCACTTATTAACGATCACCTGCCTATATTTTCAAAACTTTTTTTTCCTACAGGATGTCATGATACCCAATTCTAGTATATGTACGGCTGAATGTTCTCAACCTACATCTGATTGGACAAATGATCCATCTTGGATTATGAATATGCAGGCATTTTCCACAGATAAATCTCATCGGTCATGTAAGGCGGATTATTATTTATGGTTAACAATAATTATACTACTTAACTCAAAATGAGTATGTTCAAAGTTAACTTGAAGAATTTTAATGTTGTTGTTCTCTATTTTGTACATTTGAGCAATTTAAGATACGTGATTGACTTATATGATTTATAGAAATTACTTCAATATTGAAAACGGTCATTATTAAAATTCACGTACCTTAGGAAACATGATATAACATACTTTACAGAATACAACAACTCCAATTTGTTACGTCACGTTGTTTTGTATGTGCCCAACCGATATGTATCATCAACCTTTTACCTAATGAAAAATGTGACTCGAAGCCTATCACGTAATCAAATATCAACCTATTAGCTACAATAATCTCTGTAAATTGAAGTATTCCTTAGTTCTATATAGGTTATTTCATAATCACTTAATTAAGCCCTTCTTTATGCAAGCTTGATATCTTCAGTAACGCCTAGAAAGCTTCAGGTGAAGTTGGATTATTTCATAAAAAGTATGGCAAATGTCTGTAGTTTGTTAAATGTTAATTAGACAACAAGTAGTTAGAACTCTGATACTGTTTACTTTTGTCTATGGAATATTAGAATCCTGAACCGATCAATATGAAACCACTATTGAAACCTGAAAGCACTGAACGACCTTTTTGTTCTAGTATGAACTGATTAAAGTTAGGTATTAATACAGTTGGATCCACACTCAGTGGTCTAGATGTTAAGCGTTCAATGCAGGAGACCAAAGTTCCTGGATACGATTTCTGCGTGCGGGGTTGTGGATGGACTGTTGAGAAGTCCCATTTTAGTACTCAATGGATATCCAATGCTTCCAGAATTTCAATGGTGGTCTAACATTGATCATTTCATGATCTTAATGAAACTCAACAATCTCCACAGTGGTGACAATCATCGAACCGTGGTTTTAAGTTTTCAAACAATGAATTACACATTCAAACACTGCTCCAACCACCAAATTCCTGAGAACTAGGTATCTTAGACTCCTACAAAATAATGACAAATTATAATATAGTTTTTGGGGACAATAATTCAATCTATTAGTTGGCTATCTACACAAGCTTCCTGGCCATTATTTTTTTTGGCAGATGTGCATTCATTAACACAACGTTTCTTTGTTTATAGTTTGTTTTAACCCAAGAGTTGTCTGCTAAGTGCCAATTTTTACACCATAAAATCTTTGCAATCTATAAGGTATCATATTACTCAAGAAGTACCACAACGGTTCTTTGTGTATTTTACTTATCCGTTTATGATTTAGAGAAGCATATGGTGATAAAAAGGAATGTTAGTTGATGGTTGAATGTAGTCGACAGGAAACCCCTTTCTTGGCTTAGGTTTCATACTATCTGATACCCATTAGTATGGTGTACCTATAATTCTGAGGGAACTGATACTCTATGGCGTATGTTGTCAAAGAGTGTTGGTAAACATTTACAGATAAACATAATTGGCTTACTACTTATTTGTTTCTTGATTCTAATATTGTTTCGTTTTCAATAACTTATAGCTAATAATTCATCACAAGATGTATCTAAATTAGAAGTTTTATCTATGATGAGAGATGCAAAACGACGTCGTCAGAGCTATAGAGGAATACATACTGCAAGAAAATCTTATACTGAAGTATGTGAATTGTTAATTATATATATATATATTATATATATATATATATATATATATATATATATATATATATATATATATATGCTGATGGAAATGTTTCTTGAGTTGTTCTACCTGTCTTGATTGAAAATTCTTAGTAGCATTCTAACAATTATCTTCATTGTAAATGAATTCAAGGTACCACCAAACGCCCTGGTACGCTCACCGTCTCCAATTGCTTTCATATGGACACGTGTATACAACCACTATCAGGGAAGTCCTATTCACTGTCTTCTCAAGAAAAGTATGTTCTCTGGTGCCTTAACCGGGTAATGGATACGGAGAGTCCGTCTAAGGCAGTTGAAAAACCCTGATTAAAAACCCGTGGTGCACATGGGCTCCAGGATCCTGAAAGAACAAATGGTGTATGGACCTACTGTTGATAACCGGCTACCATGGGACTGCATCTCCTGACGTTGTTCCACTGCCTTGTGGATTAGACCTGTAGGTCGAAGGCTCGAATGGTGGTTCGCTAATATAACCGTGTGCTTTGGTTTGGGTGCCCGGACAGTATTCCAGCCCTCACACAAATCAATATTTATGTGTTTAAATAAATAAATAATCATGGTAGTTTATATAAAAAACTCGACAATGATATCATGAGTTCATCATTTGATAGATAGTATGGGATGCACGTTTACACAGTAAATGGTAAGCGTCTATACAACTTGTCACAAACTCGTATTAGTCCAAGCTTTCGTTACTTCACATCACAAGAGGACAAAGACATTGACTATATAAAAGTCATTGACATTAAAGCATTAGCTATAATAGTGAAAAGGTCAGAAAATAGGGAGTGAATTGTGAGCTGTGAATTGGTGGCGTAATACTGAAACTCGAAATCCAAAAGAGAAACAATGAATAACAAATATATATTTTGATATGCTGACCCAATCAGATATATTAATCGAAGACCAAATGATAAGTGAGAGATTGCTGATGAATGCATGCTGTTGGTCAAGATTTGGCTTAATCTTCAGAGGGACATGTGTCTATATTTATAAATGAGTTGTTCATATAGTTGACCTGGTTTGCCAATAAAAGCTTCTTACTCTGTTTTTGGTTTTCTCATTCAAGTAGCTTGCTCATGTTATATCTTGAAATTGGGTTCGTCAATGGTCTACAATAATTGCTAAATACAGAACCATTGAACTTGATAGGATGACAATTGACACACAACAACACTTCAATATTATTAATCTACACGCCAATCAGTCAGTCAGTCAGTAACAACGTAGAACTTCGTACGTACGTACATCAGTTCTAGTTGCCACACCACATTAGCACAGAGATGCAGTGGTCGCTTCAAATCCCGTAGTGCTAGATGTAGTAAAATTATCAGCAGTAATCGGGTAGATTAGAGTTTGAAGATGTTATACAAGGAGTATAATACAGTGGAATAAATTTGGAAAGAGAAAAAAGAAAGGGACATGAAGAATTCAGAAGATTATAATTTGGGAGAACACAAAGAGTGGATGAACCTGCGTCATTGCAAACGATTTTGAGCCATGTCATTCAGGGTCTCTAACCATCGGTTTCTATCATCTCGCGGTCCCCAACCAGGTAGTCTACACCTGCCAATATGACTCAGTCTACTTGTCAGTGACTTCATGGACTTGTGCCATGTTTTGTTCTGACCGCCAATAAGAAGATGGTACTTTTAAAATAGCTTTGTATTCTTAGTAGAAGTTGAAAAATTGAAATGAAACAACTCTGTTTATATAATATAATCCAGTGACCGTTGGATACGTAAGAAATTATAAATGATAACACTCAATTGGATAGTAGGAAGTTTCCTTTAGTAACAAAAAAACTAGATAATCTAATCTTCTCTTAACAGTTAGGCATGTAGATAGTAAACATATGCATCTGTTGTGTATTCGGAAATGCTTATCCGACTTCATACTAGGAAACCTGGGAATCGGACGATGCAAGGAAAAAGAAATAACCGGACAACTTTAGATAAAGACTCACTTGACCTCAGGAATAAACCAGAATGATGTAGGAATACACCATTTCCTATAAGATTCATTTGCAATTAGATTGACAGTGAGATTTGTATAGATTAAACTAAGTAGTACTCGACACTAACTAATCAGTAACATACTGTGTGGATCACATGTTAGGTATCTTACAACCAACGCATATAACTGATTGACTAAGTCATATAATCACTTCTCCTTAAGATGTGATTACGTATCACAAACGATCAATTTCATATGTTCATTTCAATTCAATCAATTAGGTCATTGCTCCTCCATATGAATATCAGTGTCTTTTAAATCCTGATATTTGGGGCCCATTATCGGCCTACAATCCTAACGGAATCAGGAGTGACTAAGCTACTATAATGTAAGCGGTTCTGCTGGGACACAACAGTTGACAACTAATCTAGGGATAAGACGGATCGTAGAAAATCTCAATATTCGAAGTAAAACAAACAAGACAAAGCGAATCAATACTAACCTGTATATGTAATAATCAAAACATGACCTACAAGCATGCAAAAATTCGACAAACTGAAAGGAATGGCAATCAATGAGAAAAAAAAGCGAAGATCATACGGAAAATTAAATTAAAAATACTTATGCCTGTTACTCCTCATGGAAAAGCATAGACCCAACACCATCCCTCTCAATCCAATCATGTCCAGTTCTTTCCAGTTGTTATATATCTTTTTCATGTTTGCTTCCAGTCCCCGACGCAACTTGTTCTTTGGCCTTCCTCTTTTCCTCTTCCCTTCAAGATTCCAAGTTAGGACTTGCCTCTTGATACAGTGTGATGATTTCCATAATGTATGTCCTATTCACTACCATCGTCTTTTCCTAATTTCCTCTTCAGTTGGAAGGTGGTTTGTTCTCTTCCACAGAAGGTTGTTGCTGATGATATCCGACCAATGAATATTAAGTATCTTGCGTAGACAACTATTTATAAATACTTAAACCTTTAAAAGTCAGTAAACTAGAGAACTTACTAGCATGTATTGTAAATGTATACTACTTTTAATACATACGAGTAGTTTGATTTGTTTTTGTAAATTTCGGTCAACACTGTAGTTATTCTTTCCCTTGATCTCTCTTTCTCAGGTATTACGTGAAATTATAGCACAACAAACTGAAATGTTGACAGCTAGTCAAGAATTGTCGGAACAACAGTCTCAAGATAGAAGATCTAAGTGAGTTATAGAGGTATTATTATTATTATTATCATTTCTACTGTTATTACCTTATTTTTATGATTTGAAATGAATATTTATATATATGGATTCCTAATTACTACATGATGTATACTTGTACATGTTTTAATGTGGTTATTTGAAGCTTGCTATTGGGAAAGTCTCCACTTTTTTCGTGTGAGAAGCGTAGGAATTGGTTTTTCAACTTCTGTTGTGATCTCTCACTCAAAATATTGACCAACTGTTAGTTTATATGTTATTTTGTTATTGATATTTACGTTTATGTCACTTATGTTATGATCTGCAATACAGTTTAGCTACTATTACTGAAGAATACGTAAGAAGGTGTATTATCAAAGTGGAATACTGATATAACTTATGAGTAATTATAGGTGATCGCGTTGACCCAGATAGGGACATGTATCTTAGTTGACTTGAGTCTTTTTCCTGAAATGTTTCAGATTGAATAGCTATGTCATGAGTTATAAATGCCTTATAGTTGTTCCTTTCGGCCCCTTGATCAATATCACATGCTAACTGAAAATCCTACTTCTAATTTATCAATTGTTTCCTCTATACCCTAATATCTTTGACTTGGCCAGTTACATGCGCGACTAGCGCTGTTGACCTTGAACCAACACAGTTAAGTTCTCATTGGTCCGTACTTTGCAAGCTTCACTCTATACCCTCCCTCGAGTTCAAAAGTCATCAACCAACCTCTACTGTATGTTTATCTTCCATATAAATGTGGCTTATATGTACACATACCACACCGCATGACATCGTAAAAGAATAATAACAATTTTTTTTATGAACAAACCAAAGGGTTTGTGAGTAGAGGAGACTAAATTTCAGATGGGCAACAATTTAGGAATAGTGAATTGTATAACAGTAGTTAATGAGTCAACTAAAAGCTTATGTTGAACGGAATACATGAACACGGCAATCTAGTTACCTGATTGTTATGTCCTAAGCCTCGTCACATATCATGTGACTGAATCGCCAATTAGAATACCGTCTTGTGTGGCTTTGGCGCTGTGCCAAACCAATGACGCGTTAACCAGTACCAACAGCCTAGAGTCAACTTTGAGTCCTTATTACTCCTCTGTATAGTAGTTTCTCGCCTAGCCTTGTCTATTAAATCTAGAAAGTAATCTCAGCCTTCACTGTATGAATCGCATATTTCAAATAAACTTGGCTTGTATAAAAGCAGATCAGATCTCATCACAATATAAAATGAAAAATGAAAATCATACAAGAACAAGCCAAAATTGATTGTGAGTAGACGAGAAATATCTAATAACAGTCCATAAATAATTCCTAACAGTTATCACTCATTTATTCTTCGTTAGAATATAACACTAATAATTATACAATCAGAATATATATGATAGTAATATGTTTGTCATTAAAAACATTAGGCGTTAATAATACGTTCACTTGGTGTTGTTTTACTTGTTGTATCTTCCCATTGATGCTTAGGATTACAATTGATCAGTCTCTTATTGACATATGTGCATCCTGTGCGGACTGCTTCTATATTGTCTGAAGTCACAAGCTTTTTAAGCAAAGATGGATAGTGGCTAGCAGTGGAATCCAGTTTGACACGCGTTTCGTCCTATTTGGGATTGTTCAGCTGGATTTACCTGCTTCGCAGAGTTGATAATACATTTACGTTTTTGGCTTAAAAGACTCGAATACGTACCTTTTTTTGAATATATATGAGACAGAACACAATAGTTTATATCACTAAATGATCTTGGTTAGACAACCATTAAAAACCAAAAGACAATGTATAAAACTGTTTTGTTTTATTATGGTATTCCTCAAAAATGCACCAATAACCTCACTGTGAATAGAACTTAAGGCTTTCAGATCTTTAAACGATTGAGCTAGTATTGTTGAGTCGGCTTTCCGAGAACTGCAACGGAGCCTCCAGGGGCCCTAAAGGAGCCGAAGAGTCCTAGCCAATCAGAGCATGATGGTGCTTTCTAGAATGTCAACTTGGCGTGCTACAATTGGTCAGTAGCCTAATATGCCTTTTAGTGGATTGGCCAAAATATGATGTTGATCTAACAAATGTTAATATCTATAAATACCCATGTTTTTCTGTACAAAAATGAACCTTGGAGGAAAGTACTTCTCGCATACTTTGAGTCTTCTCTCTTGTGTTCAGATCGCTGTATAGTTCTAGCTTAGGGGTTACAGAATAGCTTAAGAAACGAACATAGCGTTCAATCTGCAAGACTTATCAAGTATTCAGTAGTTTATATGTATCTAACTTCAATTCCTGATAATTCACAACTATTAGAGTTAGTAATTGCGTCATACTCAATATTGTTGAACTTTTCACTAGTCATAACTTCTCGTTAGAACTTTAAAAAGTACCATTTAAAATTGGTTTCTGGTGGTGATTGTACAATCATTACTGTTAGTACAGAGTGCTTATGAGAATGATTGAATCTCAGTTTATTTTCTTATACAAATTTCCTTTACAGTTTGTCCTTTTTTCCTCATAATTTTCTTGATTGTAGTAGTGTAGAATCACTTTCAAATCAAACTGAAAATGTTCATAAAAGAAGTCACTATTCACACAAATATAAAACATCGGATACTTCACGAATACAACACTATTCTCCTTTTAATTCTCCATCATCATCATCAGCAACAACTCGACGATATAAAGAAACTTATAGAAATACATCCAAATCAACTTTAAAACATACACATCATCAATCATCCAAATGGAATGATAGAAGACAATCATCATCAGCATTATCACCATCATCATCAGCAATATCACCATCATCATCGCCATCATTATCATCATCATCTAAACATAGGACTTCTAGTTCAGAGATGAACAAAAGTTTTCATCATGATAATGATGTTGTTTCTCCGGTGCATAAAAAGTTAAAAAAACACAAAAAACATTCTAAACATAAACATAAACATAAAAGTAAGAAGTAAACATTCCAGTCCTGGTTTTCATTATTCTAACAGAAAGAAATTCGTTTTTGTATTGGTTGTTTGTATCCTTCCATTAATGTTTAGAATTGCAATGGATCAATCTCTTATTGGCATATGTGTATCCTGTGTGGATTGTCTCAATATTGCCAGTAAGTCATAAGAATTTTAAAGAGAAATAGATGGTGGCTAGCAGTAGAATCCAGGATGCTTATCTTTCGTCGTATTTGGAACTTGTCAAATGAATATCCCTGCATTCCAAAGTTTATATTCACTCCTGAACTCAAATCCAGTACCTTTCGCTTCGAAATCCATATAAGTAATTGAAGTTTAGGACTGCGATTGATCAGTTTCTTTTGACATATATATGCATCCTGAGCGGATTACCTCGATATTGCCTTAAGTCTCAGAGTGAATATCCATTCTAAGATTCAGGTGCATCCAGATGACGAGTTCCAAATAGGCCGAAACGCGTGTCCTAGATTCTTCTATTAGCTACCATCTAACTGTGCTTCAAATTGAATCCTAATTTATACTGGAGAATATGATCTGATTTTTTTTAACCACCTATGACAATATCATCATGTTCATTGTATATTCATATTCTATTAAATAAACCTATTATTTTCTTATATAAAAGATTCTATTCATCTGTCAAGTGATCTTGTCTTCGACTTCCACTTATTCTATTGTATGACTATACATTAAAAATACAGTCTCGTGAATATCCATCATTTAGTCATTGTGTGGTCTTTCATCAATTACTGTTCGATTCATTAATCTTAACAATTAGGATTTCATCATATCATTACCATTAAAAACTTCTCTTAGAACACCGATTTCTTCTATGAAAAATAGATTATCAAAGACTTATTATGCTTGAACACTGATTACCACGACGCGCAACTCTGACTAGTATTGGAGATAGTTAGAAGAAAGTTAGGGCCGGCCAAACCAAAACGTGTCATCAGTCCTTGAAGTCATTTCAAGGTATAAAAGCAGAAGATTATTTCTCATAGTTAACTATCTTCAGTGATGTTTCTTTTATTTAGAAAAAAAAGAAATCCGAATATGTCGACTGTAACATGACTTTTAACTCTTCAATTGTAGATTTAAACCCTGACCCAACATACGTAAGGTTTCAATTGATGAACTGCATATAACCACTACCATTCATATAAACAAGTGATAACTCAAAATTAAGTACACAGATCTGTTCAAAGTTACATTAAGGTTTGCATAGTTGTCATGAAATTATACTTGTTCGAGTCTAATAATACTGTCTATTACGTCCTTGATCTGTCTACCCTCTAATATACAGAAGATAACTTGTCTCAATCTCGATTAAGGCATTGAAACAATAGGCTAGCTAGTTCATCTTTGAGGCTAGAAACATGTGAGTTTGAAGTGAGAGTAACTGCCTTGGGTAAACAGATGAAAACTATTCTATCACCTGATTGATTGACAAGAGCGCGCACGAAAGAGAAAAGAAGTCAACTGGAACACTACTCGTTTTATTCCTGATTCAGATTAGTGTAAATAGATGAACAACACGACCACGACGTACAAGCAATGAAGAAGGTACAAAAGGTTACGTTTAAATTACAATAGTATTTGGACAACAAAAATTATAGCAGTGAAATATACATCAAATGAAAGCTTATGATTTGTAGATTAAGCTAAGGACAGAAATGAATGTTAATGAAGTAATTTCCATTGTTTATCATGATTTCTATGTTTCTCTGTTCACATCACTATCAAACTCTCATGATGAAACTAGTATTTTTTTAAACGCATAAACATTCGTACTAGGAGGCACCAAATAGATATGCGCTACATAAATCATTCGATTTGTGTGAGGGCTAGGATACTGCCCAGGTGCTCAAACCGAACCAGGTGATCTTCCTAGGTCACACCCCAAGTTTTTGACCTAAAGGTCTGATCCACAAAGCAGTGTAGCAACGTCAGGAGATGCAATCCCATGGTAACCAGTGACCAACAATTGGTTCGTACTTCATCTGTTCCTTCAAGATATTGGATCCCATGTGGACCATTGGTTTGGGATCAGGGTTTTCCAACTGCCCTAGGTGGCCTCTCCGTATCCATTAACCCGATTAATGCGTTCGACATTCGCTTTTCATCTTAATGAATGAACGTATTAATGATTACGTAATAACGTATTATACTCATTTTGCAATAGTTACAAGTAAAAGTACACTTCTGTTATTTATTTATGGCCAAAATTGTTTTGTATGGGATTTTTGTTGTTGTTGTTTTGGTTTCTCATAATAAGACACCCACTCATGATTAAATAGAGTAGTGATTGTAGATCATCATCATCATTTTTTTTTCTCATATAGTGTTGTTTAGTGTAAAACTGATGGAAGAGAGAGGGGGGGTGTTAGATATTATTCAAAACAGGTGATTTGTTTCACATAGTGTTCTTTAATGTAAAAGTGGTGGGAGGGGAGGAGAAAAGGGTGTTAGACACTGTTGAAAACAGGCGTTTTATTTTTGTTTTTTTGTTGTTGCTTCAACTAATCTCCTTTGACTTAAAACAGATCAGTAAATGAACTTTAATTTCATGATAATACAATTTGTAAATAATCATTGACCTTGAAGAAATATCTTTTTTTTTGTTTTTTTTTCTATCCTGGTAACAAAATACCTACATCCAAATTGGAATACAATAATTAGTTATTTTAAGTAGTATTGGCAATCGTTTTTAAGTTATATATAAAATTGAAAATTACAATCTAATAATATGATGCTGTGAAATTTCTAAAACTCTCCACAAAACCCATTCTGATAATAATCAACTGCTCACTAGTGACTGACTTCAGGAAAAACTCCTGGAGTTCTAGTGAGAAGCCGTTACCAGTGAAGACAATGGTGTACGGTGGCGCAACTTCGTGGATTGGTTGAAGTTAGACATTAACACCGTTGGATGCCGGCTCAGTGGTCTAGTGGTTAAGTGCTCAAGCACGAAGCCGTTAGGTCCTGGGTTCGAGCCCCGCGTGGTGCGGGATCGTGGATGCGCACTGCTGAGGAGTCCCGTACTAGGACGAAACGGCTGTCCAGTACTTCTAGGTTTTCCATGGTGGTCTAGCTTTAATCAATTAAGTAATTTATTTAAACATATTAACATTAGTACAAAGAGGCACTAAATACATATGCGTCGCATAAATCATTCGATTTGTGTGAGGGTTGGGATACTGTCCGGGCATCCAAACCGAAGCACATGGTTTTCTTAGTGAGCCACTCCTCAAGCCTTTGACCTGGAGGTCTAATCCACAAGATAGTGAAGCAGCGCTACAGTGACCAATAATAGGTCCATACACTGTTTGTTCCCTCAGGATCCTGGAGCCCATGTACACCATTGGTTTGGAATCAGGGTTTTTCAACTCTCATAGGTGGATCCTCCATATCCACCAACCTGGTCAAAGCGTAGGATATTCGCTTTTTGTCCTCTCGATTCCGTAAACAACACCCGTGGTGCGAGAAGGCAGTGAGTAGGACTTCCCACGAAATGGCTGTGTACGTGTGGCTATGTGAGAGCATTCTGAGAGGGAGAGCTGACTCTCCCAACCCTTGGTCGTACCAGGGCATTTGGGGGCTTTAATCGATTCATGAATTCAACTATCAAATTACTATAATATTCACATAACTCCTTTCTAATTTGTTTATTAGTTGAAAAATGACTACAGCAGTTTGATAATTGACTGTTGAATAATATATACGAATCAAGTTCCTGTTATGTATCTACTGTCCGATTCAATTATGATATACATTTCATACAATATGCCAAAATTCAATAAACTAAATTAGAAGACTGAAATGAATAGGATGGTTGATTTTCCAAATAGAATTATGATTCACAAAACTCATTGTCTTTCTGATTCACACAAGGACATATAGTCTAAAACCTTGAGTAGGTGGATGGATAACTGATACACGGTTTGTAAATTTCCACCTACAGTTTGACATTGAGACTTCATTTAAGGATAAGCATTTGTCAGAAAAAAACCCTGCACTCTTCAGGGAATTGATATCCATTGTACGATCCAAATCAACCTCACGGTCTAATACAACATCAATGATCTGGGATACAATGATTTGGTGACAAGATTAACTAACAAAAAAAAACTGAGGTTGGGTTTTTGTGATTGCTGGAAACTAATTGGCCAATTGCTGAGAAGCTTTGATTATGAAGGTGGATTGGCTTTGATTGGAATAATTTCATTAGTCTTCACATCAGTGTTCAATTACTATGGAACTTCCTGACTGAATAAAGTTACATATAGACTTGCAGGTATAAAAATGGCTAAGGGGACTGATGAAGTTAGAACCAGAATGATCGAACATGCATACCATATCAGTGGTCTAATGAACGTAACTGATTCAGTGACAGCTACAATTTAGTCACTTAACAAGTCATTCGACAGTCCGTAAGTTTTAGCAAGTCGAAAGATCTTCATTACAGTGTGACAGTGAAGCTATCTGTCTGGCTTTTTAGAGGTCTTTACTGGCAGTAAGTTTTCAATAGTAAATACTGTGTTAAGAGTTTATTTCATCCCTGTTCACCGGGAATCGGACCTGGGAAGCAATTCGCTGGTGAGCATATCCTCACCAATGGTCCAGCTAGAATCGGGCCGTGATCTAAACTATGAGAATTTTACAATCTCCTTAAACCAAAAGTGGCTATTAGCTAACAGTAGAATTCAGGACGCGCATCTCACCCTATCTGAGACTCGTCAACTAGATATAACTGCCTCCTAAAGTTGATGTTCTCTCCAGGACTCGAACTTAGTACCATTAAGACTAAGTTTGAATTGTTACACTCCAATAAAATGATTTGAAATTATTTTTAAAAAATGTATTTAACAAGGATACTTGCGGACTACTACTACTTACTACTATACGTGTATGTTGTTGAAGATCATTGGAATTCAGATCATTCTCATTATCATCATCATCCTTGTCATCATCAACAACACCGTGAGGGAGAGTAAAGGAGAAAAATAGTTGGTAAAAGGTTAACAGATATCAAAATCACAATTGATTGATCACTGGGTGGTGATCAATGTCATGCTTGTCTAGTCCTTATTAGTGCAGATCGAATGCTATCGATCAATCAACCACCATCTAAAATCTCAATACATAGTGCCTGCAGTGTCGAGTCACCTAGACTGGTGGCCACATTGCAACATGATCAATAGCATTCGATCTGCACTAATAAGGACTAGACAAGCATGACATTGATCACCACCCAGTGATCAATCAATTGTGATTACATCTCAGTCCTACAGAAGGTTAGTCACGGCTCGGATAGCTCAGTGGTAACGTCTCTGACTGTGAAGCTGGGTGACACGAGATCGAATCCGCCAGGGAGCACCAGTTCCCTCAAGATTACAGGTACACCTTTCTGACGAGTGCCAAGTAGCACGAAACCCGGGTCCAGGGTTTCCTGTTGACTACATCCAACCACCATCTAAGATATCAAGATCAGAATTTGAAACACAATTCATCCAATCAATAATTATTATTGATTAAAGCATTCAATAAAGGATCTCTAGAAGAACAACTTTCAGAATATAATGAATGAATCTAATACATATCGATTAGATCAAGTTTGAACTATAATTAACAAGTAATTGTTTACTTGACAGACTCATTCGAAGTAAAGACCGATGTCAGGTAAAGTTGCTTACTCTCAGCCTTTCTTTTTCTCCTAGTGATCAACTGGATTATGAAAATGTTAAGATCCGGGGAGAAGCACAAGATACAGTGGACAGCTAGGGTGCAGCAGGATAATCTAGACTTCGCAGA